AGGTTCTTGATCCTAAACGCAGCGTCAGTCGCCGCGCTACCCGTATGTCCGCACCGGCGGACTCGGACTCTCGCCTCGCCACTCACCGATCAATAAGCGTCAGCGTCCCGTCCGCGTTCCACTGCCCCACGTCGCCCGTACGCATCCAGCCGTCGCCCGCGAAGATCGTCGGGTCCTCGTTCAGGTCGGGCCGCTTGTAGTACCCGGAGATGACGGAGTTTCCGCGGATGCAGACCTAGGGGCGGGGCGTTAGCCGTGTAGAGGAGTCGGATGAGCGGAGAAGGAGAGCAGGGGAAGAGGGTAGAGAAGGGTAGGGGGAAGAGCGGTGGGGATGCAGAAGAGGAGGGAAGGGTGGGAAGAGGCTTGGGCGGTCGAAGGAAAAAGTGACCGGAAGGGAGGGAAGCGCTGGAACGTCGGAAAGAACAGAGGAGATGGGATGGGTGGGATGAGGAAGGGCGGTGAGCGATGGAAGCTGAGCGAAGCAACGCGAGTGAATGATCGCTGTGGACGACGACGGCCAGCGACGGCACCCCGAGCCCGCCAAACACCCCCGCCGCCGCCGCCCCCTCCCCGCGGGGCTCCGCCTGTGCACACCCCACACCCCATGGGGCCCCACCACTCTTGGCATGCCGCCCGCGCGCGGGGCCCCGCCGTATCACATGCCACGCGGCGCAAATACAGAAATACGCCGAAACGAAAAGGCTTCGGAACGAAAACGAAAAGCCCCCATGAAAAAGACCCAGCGGCGAAGGAAGGGAAGGAAACAAGAAGAAAAGAGGGAAGAAGAAGAGGAAAAACGCACCTCTCCCCGCTCCTCCGTGCTCCCGTTCCGCCCGCAGGAGAAGTAGCCTGCCTCGGGCACGTCGCGGAACTGTGAAAGATTATCGTCAGCAAAAGAAAAGCGGGTCCGCAAGACGAGGTAGAGTGGAGAGAAGAGAACGGGAAAGGAGAGCGGGAGCGAGAGGAGGGAGGAGGAGGGGGACGACTCGACGGACGCCGAGTATGGGCCGGAAGGATAGACAGGGAAGTGAAAGGAAGAGAAAGGGCAGGTCGAAGGGCATGAAGGGCAAGAGGAAGAGGATATGAAGCACGAGTAGTGCACCAAAGAAGGCAGTGGAGGCAGGGGACAAGACGCACCTTGATCTCGATGGAGGGCATGGGCAGCCCGACGGTGTCGTAGCGGAAACACTCGGGGGGCATGATCGCGCACATGCCGCACGACTCGGTCATACCGTAGCCTGCATATGCGGGTTAGCGGGGGTAATGTAATACGAGGACGCGGGCCACCCACCCTGCAACAGCATCACCAACGCGATGCTCAAAAACTCCTGCGTCTCCTTGCTAATCGCCGCGCCCCCACACATCGCGATCCGCAGCCGGCCCCCCGTCGCCGCCCTTACGCTGCTCAGCACCACGCTGTCCGCGAGCCGCGCGAGGCCCGGAGTGCCCCGTCGCTTCGCCTCGACCGCCCCGCGGAACACACTCCCCCGAATTGCGCCCCCCGCCGCCACCTTTGCGAGGATGCCCTTCCTTATCTGCTCCCACACCGCGGGCACACCGACCATGATCGACGGGCGGAACGCCTTGATGTCGCCATCGCAGTTGCGCACGGACGCGTCCGTGAGCGTCTTGATGCGCCCGAAGCCCTGCGGCATGCCGACGAAGAGCATGATGAGCTCGACGATGTACTCGAGGATGTGCGCGAGCGGCAGGTACGCGAGGTACGCGTCCTCGGGCGTGAGGTGGTGCCCCAGGACGGTATACACGGCGCCGACGGACGCGACGAGGTTCGCGTGCGTGATGACGACGCCCTTCGGTGCGCCCGTCGAGCCGGAGGTGTACATGATGCAGCTGACGGTGCTCGAGGTGGGCCGCCGATCGTCTAAGAGAGACACAGGGAGCTTGGCGCCGCGCGCGCGGAGGGCGTCGATGGAGATGACGGTGATGTCCGGGCGCGCCTCGGCGAGGGACGCGAGGAGCTTCGGGGTGGGCTCGCCGTCGAAGACGACGGTCTTGACGGACGGCGTGTTGGGGAGGACGGCGAGCAGGGTGGGGAGGAGCTCGGCGTTGGTGAAGAGGGCGGCGCAGTTGGGCTCGTTGAGCGAGTGGGTGAGGCCGGAGGGGCCGAGGGTGTCGTACGCGGTTGCGATGGTCGTCGAGATGGACCCGCAGGCGTGCGCGATAAGCTGCCAGTTGACGCTGGAAGGGGGTTAGCATGCTGTGCGTGAGGAAAAACGGAGCGCGAAGAAAGGGAAAAGGCGAAGGAGCGACGGACGACGAGTGATGTTCTGGCCTGAAAGCCATAGCTTTGGCCCGGCTTCTGGCCTCGCAGAATCAGAGGCCAGGCCAAAAGCCAAGCCAGCCAAACGTCTGGCTTCTGAAAACCAGAAAGCCATGGCTTTTGGCGGGGTCAAATGGTGGGTTCTGGCTTTGGCCTGGGCAAAGCCAAAAAGCCGTAGCTTGAGGCCCAAGCCAGAACATCACGGCACTGCCGCGCGATGACGTCGCCTCATACGAGGCAACCCTGCACAACGGCGGGGCATCCTGTGACGAGCACAGTAGGTAGACGGGGTATGCCGGCCATGACCCATCGTCCCTTCGAGGCCAGAAGCGAATAGCGGGGAAGGTGGCGTTGGCACTCACCTCGTCGCAGCATAGATGTTGAATACGTCCTCTGTCGTGAGGCCCAGGTCCACGAGCCCCCTCGCGATTTCGGAGACGCGGTCGCGCAGCTCGACATAGGAGATGTACTTGTAGTCGCTCAGCTGGAAGTACTTCCACTTCTTCGTCTCGGTGACCTCCTTGCCGTCGACCATCTTCTTTACCTCCTTGGCTTCCTCGTGCACGTCGACGATGTCGCGCCACCCGAGCGCATCGCGCGTGCCGTGCGTCTTGGCGACGTACTCGAGTATGTCGTACACGGTGTCGATGCCCTCGAACGGCTGGGAGATGAGGCGGTCGGCACTGATTGCGAGGCGACGGGTGGGCCCCTCGTCGTCTGCGGTGGGTGGGGCGACCGCGACGGAGCCCTTGCCGTAGAATCCGGGCCTGTTCGTCTTGGTCGTGATGCTCATAATGTCTGGGGTAGGAGGAGGTGAGGTGCTTAGCGCTGACTGACGTACCTCCGCGTGGAGATAAAACAAGGAAAAATAATTATTTAAATATTATTTCCTCGCTAAACCCTTAACACGAGGCTGTCTGGGTCTGGAGCGCACTGCACACTCAGTTCCATGTGCAGACAATCTTCAACCTCCTTCCGTTCAACCCATGAGATTCTAGTCTCATTCTCTCGGCCCGACTCTAGCCGTTTGACGTCCTCGAGGACCGGGGTTCGAACCAAGTTAACATCAGTGATCCAACACCGTTTTGACGCCGATACATTTTCTGCCCGAAATTATAATATCTCTTGCGTTAAAGACGAGCTGAGCAATCCCGCACAAGCCTGAGACGGAGCCCGAGGATGCTGACTGGTATGCGGAGCTCCGAGCTTGCCTGAAAGGAATAGTTCGTATTAATTTTAGGATAAATATCGTGTGCACATATCCAGTAGACTTATCCATGACTCATGAGCTTGCTCTCATTGATCCTACCCATTCCGAATAATCAGGTCTTCCTGGTCCACATAATAAATTCAACCTTCCGCAGTAATACACTCCTCCTTGTCAGGGGTAGCCATTGATTGACATTAATTAATTCAACAGCGTCATCTGAATGAAGTGAGGGAGGGGATGATGCTATAGAGCCATCGAAAACTCTAGTCGATTTCAGGCACGCGCCGCATGTAAATTAAAGGGGCCTACTACATACATGGCAAGGCTGTGTTCAACCGAGGAGCTGTACATGTACGGTATGTTCCATTTTATGCCATCAAAACAACCCTGCTGACAGGAAGGACATACAGGGGTTCTCAGTCCGATTGAGTCAAATAAACCCGCCGGGGTGTCATTTAATTTTCAGGTACATTTGGGCCGAGAGAAACGCCAGCGAGTCGGAAAGACCCGAAACAAAGTAGACTTTGGACTGTTTATTAATATTCAAGCCAATGGCTGCAACGGAGATTGTTGTTAGTACATGCTCCAGAAAAAGAGAGCTCCAGAGGATGTTGACTTAAAGGGGAAGGGAAGTTGCCGGACATCCAGGTATAACGAAATTTTTTGTATTTAATAATATCGTACCGGTAACGTACAGTCGAGCTTCTCATGCATCGTTGCTTGCATGCCGAGGCAAAGACCGGCTCGGAGGACTTAGACTTAAAGGGGAAGGGAACTTGCCAGACATCCAGATATAACGAAATTTTAGTACCTCAGAATATCGTACCGGTGACATACACTGTCTCGACTGGCAGTCGAGCTCCTCATGAGCTATAACCTGCGGCCTAACAGCCACACGGCCAAAGGTTCACGTCGTAAACCCAAGAGACGTCTCGGATCACCCCGAACACTCAACCTGAAGTTTAAAAATCCAATCCTTATCTCATTTTTAAGAGCTATCTGGGTATGGAGGCTACGGATCCAAGGAAACGACATTAGAAGCAAGATTGGAAGTTCAACCAATGTTCAAACCATTGAACCGAAGCCCGAGGGTTCAAACCTTGCGCGGCGAGTGGCGTCGGGCGTTCGAGCGCGGAGGAGCAGCAAGATAAGTTTTTCCACTACTGCCTCTCTTCTTTCTGGTTACCTTTCGACGAGGATCAGAATATATAGAGAGCTCCTCAGCTAAGCGCCGAACGAGCGCTTACCGTGCCGACCGGCATGCCGAGGTCCCTCTTGTCGTTTTCCCAACCATTGAACCCACTCCACCCGAGTCCATCGGACCAACATGCCTTCCATGCTTCGAGTTGCGGATCGTGGGATCAATGAATGAATGTGCAGGGTGCGAGTAAACTCTTTATTTATTTTCCACTCCGAGCGGTACGGCAAGTTGATTCATCATTCTCGTATATTGGATGTGCAACTTGAGTGACGTTCCGCCTCAACAAAATCGGGGACCTCAGGAAATAAGACCTAATAGTGGAGTGGTTACCACACCTGCTCAGATTAGCTCGGTCTGGTATCACGGTTCCCTGCAGGAGGCCCCCGTTCGATTCGGGGTTAGGTCTTGATTGGCTTGTGAATTGTTTTTCCCCCTCTGAGTTCTGTTTCTGTTTTCTTGGAGACAAATTTTGGACTCTCAATTCCGTAGTACTTTTTTCTGAAATTCGAGTACAGCGTCTACCTACGTATAGTGCTACATACGGGAGGGGCAAATATGCGATAGCGTTGTGTTCAATTAAGTAGCTGAAAACTAGGAATATTTTCGCTTGAATGCGCACACACTTCTCTTCCTCATGCTGTCCAGACTGTAACAGAAAGCCGAGGAACATTACTTTCTCGCGCAGAGTGAAACCAAACGGGTCGAATCACTTCACAACAGCACGTTCTATCTTCCATGTTCAATTGACTAAGAGAGAGAGAGAGAGAGAGACCAGAGACATTCCAGCAGAAAGGGAAATCAAGGCAGCCATTTTGAAGAGGCTCCTGGACCGACGGTCAGATTTGTCTTTGACTGGTCTTATCGTGCCGATGTGCCGAGTGCGATGCCGAAATCGGCGAGTCGGCGATGAGTGTATCCGGTTGCTCTTTCCCTGTTCCCGCCACCAACGCCGTTCGTACGCCACGCGGAAATTGCACGGAATTCTCACTTGTGGTCGAGCATCACCTCGCGGAAAGCTAGCTCCAATGGCTCGTAACACACGCCTCCATGGTTTCATGGATTGCCGTGGCCAGTCGGTCTGGCAGAGATACCCATCTCGGACTTGGTTAGTCCCGCTCTCCGAAATTGACAACAGAATAACTTTCAAATAACTCAACAGAATAATTACAAGTTGCTGAGCGCTCGGGATCCCGATGGCATGTTCCGACTGCTCCCGTTTTCTCTCTTACGTTTGAGTCAGCGGGTGAATTTAACCGGCGTCTGCTGTAATCTGGGTTTGTGTTATGGGCTCCTTTTAACCGGATTCTGACATGTATAACAGTATAAGCTCAAGCTGCGCATCTTGGATACCGTCTGGTTTGCATGCTCCCTTTTTGCTCAGCGCTTTAAGTCAGCGGGCGCCATTTTAACCGCGTCTGCTGTAATACGGGCTGGTCAAATATGCCTGTCTTTTAACCGACGTGCTGTAATATGGGTTCGTTAAAATGGCTGCCTTTTAGCCGGATTCTAGGATGTATAAACGCAGGCCGCGCATCATATTTTTCTTCTAGATCTGTCCATGGCGTCCATTTCCTCTGCCACCAAAATCGTGCTCATCACCGGTGCCAACAAAGGCATCGGCTTCGAGATCGCAAAGCAGCTCGCGTCGCAACACAAAGGCTATCATATCCTCCTAGGGAGCCGAGACGCTGAGCGGGGCGTAAACGCCGCGGCAGTCTTGCAGAAAGACGGTTTATCTGTGGAGGCGCTCACCCTCGACGTCACATCCGATCGCTCCCTCGCTGCCGCCGCGGCGAGCGTGGACTCCAAGTTCGGAAGGGTCGATGTCCTCATCAACAACGCCGGCATCGCACTCGCTGACGACGGCGCCACCCGTGAATTCGACCGGAAGGTATTCGAGGAGACATTCGCTACGAATGTGTTCGGCGCCGCCGCGACGACCGAGGTGTTCGTCCCGCTGCTCGAGAAATCCGCGGCTGCGCGCGTCGTGTTCATTTCCTCTACCCTCGGGTCGTTGGCGCTGCGCGCCGATCCCCAGGCGCGGGGAAATTCGTCGGAGTACCCCGCGTATCGCTGCAGCAAGGTGCGGATGCTCTTTCTTCGCGAACGAACACTTCATTGTGGCTGACATTAATCGGGGCTGTAGGCTGCGCTGAACATGCTCGCTCTCGGGTACGCGCATAGATTCAGAGCGCAGGGCTGGAAGGTCAACATCCACAACCCTGGATACACCGCGACGGATTTGAATAACCACATGGGAACTGGAACGGCGGAGGACGGCGCGAGGGGCGCGGTGCGTCTGGCGACTTTGGACGATGGCGGTGAGACGGGTACGTTCTCCGAGAAGGAGGGGCTGGTGCCGTGGTAGGTAAGGACCTCATGTACAGCACCTATAACAAAGCGTAGATGAGATTGCGAGAGTGGGAATGAAACAGATTGAACGTGTACGTGTTCTGGCTACGACCTGCGCTTCAGTTCACGACAGTTCCACGGCTGCCAAAAATGTGTCAAACTTAGACTAACCGCCGGGTACATCCGCATTGGTACTAGTGCTGTATACGTATACGTGCGGATAGCCTATACGTACGTGCGGGTATGCGAACATACTTGATTTGCTGTATATCGAGATTAGATATACTCATCATCACCCAGATCAAGCCCCTGATTCTGATTGACAACTTTCCTATTCGAGCGTCTGGCGTTGAGTCCCATTTGGGCAATCACTAGTCGTTGATCTGGAGCCCGGTTGTCGTCGGCAGCACAAATCAGTGTGCGCTTATTTGAAACTACGCATATTTAATCCAATTGTCGGCGTCATGGCACCCTGGTATATATAAAAGAATGTAGAGGACAACGAATGTCCTATTTATATTTAAACATTAACGCAAGCGCCAGGCAGCCTTGATCATGTCGGCAGCCTACCAGTCGCACGGATTAGCTGGTTGAAAGATGAGGAAAGCAGTGGACGCACCTTTTCCGCGATGGCATACACGGTCGGCTGGAGCGGTACGCTGATGGTGAATGGGAAGATGCCCGCATCGATAATGCGGACGTTGGCGAGTCCGTACACCTTGAGCTGGGGGTCCACGACGCCGCCCATCGATTGTGGGGCCATCGGAGTCGAGCCTAGGCAGAACGTACAGTAAGCAAGGCTCGTTCAATAATCAGAGAGCCTCCCACCCATCGGGTGATTTGTTGACTGCAAGATCGGATGACGAGGATTAATTCAATAAAGAGGCAGATTGAAGGCGAGACGTTACCTGGACATGCGCCCTCACGTAACTGAAAATCAAGAAATTAACTGTGTGAAGGTGGAGAAGATACAGGCAAATGGTCGCACACACCTATCCCAGGCGGCCGTGGAATTGACTGAAGCGGATGGCTGGTCGAAGGCCTCTACGAGTTCGGCCATGGGACCGGTGAGCATCCACTCGCGCGTCCACTGGGCAGCCTTGATGAGGAGTTCTGCATCTGAAATACCCTCAGTTCCGCGGAACGGGTATTATTCATTAGTGGAGCGCACCGAAGGGGACCTCAAAGTAGCGCGGATCGATGACAGGGGACGCCAACGGATCTGTGGTATTGATGTGCTACGAGGGAAACGGTTTGATAAATTTCTATCTTGTTAAAAAAGGAACCACTTACGACTGAGCCGCGGCCGAAGGGATGCTATACGACAATTAACTAAGCGGCGAAGGTGAAACGGAAGCAGGCTACGCACCACTTCCATTACCGCAATGGATACGTATGAGGTGTTAGGGGCTGGAGTGCCTGCAACACCGCCGGAGGGAACGACGACCAGCTCGAGGAAGGGGACCTCCCCAGCTTGGAGCAATTTTAACTGAGCGTGATGTTGCACTTTCGTTAGGGCTGACTGAGTCATGCCGTGGAGCGACGTCTTCAAGGAGTCGATCATCGCAGTGGTTGCATCCTTTCCGAAGAGAGTTTGGATCGGCGTGGGCCCCAAGGCGGCTGGGGTAAATGATAAGGCGCCCTGACCTGACGCATTGCTGCAGTAAATCTGTTTAGCGATGAGATATCGGAGCAAGAAGACGTGGACTAACAAGATTGACCGTTGCTGGAGTAGGAACGTGACGTTGTTACCCAGGGTGTCTAGAACTTGGTGACTCTTCTGCCACATCCGAAATAATGAAGACGCATACCAAGTGTAATTGTAGACGCTTTCAGTTTGTAGTCAGACACCATGATGGGATGGTCCTGGAAGTATGATGAGGATCAGAATGGCGAGCGGAAGACGACAAGAAAAACGGACCTGCAAGTTCTCGCCAATCGCTGGGAGATCCAGGACACAGGGAATTCCGAGTCCATGGAGAAGATCCTTGTTGCCCACGCCCGAAAGCTCGAGGAGTGGTGCAGTCTTTAAGGATCCTATCGAGCGTTGAATAAACAACGGACATGAACCGAATATAATTAACAACCTGCAGCCAAGATCAGCTCCTTCTTGACGTGCGCGGTGTAGGTCGTCCCGTTTACGATGTATTGCACGCCAGTTGCGGCTTTGGTTTTACCAAAGAGGATCTTGGTCGCCTGTGCCCCGGTGAGCAGCACCAGATTTTGACGCTGCGCGTTCGGCTTGTAGTACGAATTCCCGGCATACCTCCGTAAGCCGGTCGCCTGATCGACATTGCGAGCGACGGGAGAAAATCCAGCGCGATTGCCAAGATCCTATCCATCCGATCAGCGGTTGAAGTGCGATATGAAACATAGAACGTACAGGGTTCGAGTTCAGTGGCACACCCAGCACGTGTGCCGCCTGCACTGACGGCCCATCCACGTCTGTCAAATAATTGTTGTATGAAATCTAAGTGGAATGAGTCGACGACAACTATATCAAAAGGTTGAGGAATTACTTTGAGAGGTCCGTTGGTGCCATGAGCGGCCGCGATATCCGACGAATTCAGAGGGAATATAGTTGGCGAAGCAGGCGGCGGAGACCAGGTTTCCACCTTTTTAAAGTAGGGCAGCATCCCAGCAAAGGTCCAGTTCTCGGCACCATTTCCGAAAGACGTCGACCACAGATCGTATTCTTCCCTTGCCCCTCGTTGCCATATCTGTATTTGAGGCTGTTAACGAACGAAGAAAAGTAGGCGTCGCGCATGGAGCTTACCATGGAGTTGATTGCTGAAGATCCGCCAACGACTCTTCCTCTAATGAGAAGAGTTAGCCATGAAGGTCAGAAGAGATCCAGTGATGGTACCTCGGGTAAGGGACGGGCTTTCCATTGAGTCCCGGCTGCGGTATTGAAACAAAACCCCAATCGTACGTGGGATTTCCCAGGAGCCCTGTAGTCACCGACGGAGCAGCCCATGAATTAGGGATCTCAATCACAGGATCGTCAGGCCGATACTGGCCCGCTTCGATTATGCCCACAACGACGTTGGGATC